TTGTGCCAGTAAACTCACGGAAATTTCGCGTGTCTTCTGAATTATTATATAAAAGCAATAGACCACAAGTTTTTATGGTTTATAAGCTGATAAACCACGTGGGATTTTGGAAGAACACTCGAAGAATTCGTAAATCACACGCCTACGGCTCGTGATTTACGAGTTCTTCTCATGTTCTTCCAACATCCCGCGTGGTTTATCAGCCTGTAAACCATAAAAACTTGTGGTCTATTGCTTAAATGTAAGTAATTATGTGTTTAGCAAAACGAAAAAAAAAAAGGCCCGTCAGGAAAACGAAGCTTTTCGGCGAAAACGCTCTTCAAACCGAAAGAATTTGAAAACGCCGGCTTTACGTTTTAGTGTGGGCGGAAAACATTTTGAAAACGGAGCTTTTAGAAAACGATAAGCTCCAGTCAAGGAAATGATGTGACTTCCCTGTCCGAGTTTTTCTCAAACACAGGTCTACAATGACCGGTGATTGTTGCGTTTTTAAATTTCTGCGGCGAAGTTTTCTCTAGCTCCTCCCACTACTGAAGGTAGACGAGATATAGACATTTGGCCGTACTCATCTTATCAAAAAGTTGGACATTGGTCTACACCATATTCAGTTTAATGATCAGAGCCGAAGGGATCCAGAGATCACTGGATGCTGTGAAAGGGTACCTGCATGTAAGGACGGATTGGTAGAGAAATTGGGAGCAGCTTTCAATCAGTCTATACCAGTCCAAAGGCGCATGCTCAATGTTCATCCTTAGTGACCTAACAGTCTGTTAATACAGAATACATTGGCTGTACTCAGAAGCCAGAACTTGAAGAGTACATTATCTTCTGCTGTTAGCAAACATCCCAAAGAGAGGAATAACAATAGAACCGTTGATCTTGCCAGGAAATTCTCAGACAGTCTAAAGAAGTGCCTTGGAAAACGGGCAGAAGTAAGATAAATTGTCGGCGATTCGGAACACCCGATCAGCCTCTGATCGCGAAGGAGTCTGTTTGAAACATTAACGGCGAGGCATGTAAACGTTTAAAATTCTAAATGTCGAATTGTAAGTATTTATTGTTTGCAACTATTTTACCTTTCAGCTTTACACTTACTGATTAATTTTGCTAACAGAAGTGAATTGACTGCTTAGAAGGATCAGTCTAGGCTTTCAGAAGGGGCCGGTCCAGTTTGACAGTTTCAAAACTCGACCTGTTTTTCTTGCAGGTTTACAACTCGGGTGAATTGGGGCACATAGGCGGTACGGAAAGCACAAAAGCCGTCCATCCGGTGCGATTCAGTTTGGATCGGTCTCGTGTCAACATCTGGTAAAGTTAGTTTAGTTCCGCTCCCACAAGTGGGGGAATAGGGTCAGAACATAGGCTAACCAAAAAAAACCCTACAGAAAATAAACTGATCCAACCTGAGCTGGGTCAAAAGACCTCGCGTCTCTGGTAGCTTGTGTTATATAGTGATTGTCAGATTACGTTGTTTTTTAATACCTTTGCAGGTATTAAACTTTCCTGGATGGCAGTCTGCGTTGTACGCGACAATTTCTTCCTTCACATTCTATGCAGCTTTTAACAGAGCCTCAACTTAAGAATAAAAAGTACGTTCTCGGTGATATGCTTTACTTTTCTTTCCACGATGTTGTGTAATCACCTCAGAGACAAAAACTATATACCACCATGATCATTGAGTTCTCAGTCATAGCACCAGCTCTATAGCCAATAGCTTGGAAAAAGATTGAAATTCAAGATCATTCCAAAGTAGCCGAGGGACTGTCAGTGATTAGCAATCTTAGAGCTTTTTACACGCCAAAAGTCGATTAAGTTTCTTCCTCAAAACTGGCTGAGTCACAACACTCCCGACAATATCGTTAGCGCGAGTTATATTTTCACTGTGAAAAAATCCACCAGAAACTTAAAACACCCAGCTTTCAACTCAGTCCGTCAAGACAAAAGGACAGCAGATCATTAAAATTCAACTTCACGTGAAGGTGTAAATAATTGATAATCTCATAATATAAAAGTAATAGTCGATGTTCATTGTATTGAGCGGGGTGATCAAGCGGATAGCATCAACTAGGTATATGTAACTTATAACGAAACATTGTTCTCACGCTAAATATATATGCCCTGATATTTTCTGAACAGCATTTTTCTTGTTGCTTTACAGAAATCATGGATGGCAGAATAACTTTTTGCCTTATCCTCTCTTCGCTGTTCCTTATTGTCAAATCATGGCCCACGGAAGTACGACCCGTAGCTAAACAGGAACCAGGTGAGTTGCAACTCATTGCTCTTTTTCCACTCGGCTGCATACAAGCTGTATAAGAAAAAAATAACACGGGACAGTAGACGCTTTTGATTTTCTTTCTCTCACATCTGTTTGTTTAAATCACAACTTGAAATGTTTAGGACGTAACAAAGCAATACTTTAAGTTGCGCCTCTGCACTGGCCTCAACAAAGAAGGAAAGGGTATTTCAGCAAAGTGAGGTTTTTGACCTTACTGAAACATTTTCTTCTTTACGAAAAAGTCGTGTGTTCCACCGTATCACTGTGCAAGAGCTCGTTGAAATTTGTGCTGCCTTTAAAAAGGTCTTTTGCATGTAGTACAGATTTGGTCTGTGATGAAAATCATTGCAATTAAATCAGTCTCGACCGTGAAAAACGAGGCCAGAATATAACCTTAGGTCAATGTTTTTAGCAACAGCTAAATTGATCATGCAGTTTAGCTATTTTGCGACTGTTAAACATATTGTGGCGTTCAAAACTAGAGCTCACTGAGAATTTTAAAATTGCACGACAGGATTAGAGCGGATTTTTCCTGAAATGTTTAAATTCGCGTTTCAAGTAACCTTTGTAAGGGGGTGAAACAAGGGGATACAGCCCAGAATCAGGAAATTGAGATATGTAACTAACGGAAAACAGGGTAGATATAGAGAAAATCTGTTTTCAGAAAAAATCATCTCCGTATTTTCAGACAAAATTGTTTAGATTTTACGTTTCTTAGCTTTATTGTCAGAGTCTTTTGTGTGAAGTAGCTGCTTGACACGATTGCAAACTGGTGGCGCTGGTTGAGCACACGCTTTGTGAATATTCAATAACAGAGCTGGTGAAAACTGTTTTGTTTTACTCAGCGACGTCATTCGAAAAGCACCGGTAATTTAGCCATTGAAAGACAGCACTTGAATGTTTGTATTTTTGTTTCGAAACAAATTCTAAACTTTTACTTTATTAACTTTCCTGAAGTCTTGGTTAAAATTAGGGGTGATAAGCGTGTGTTGTGCTTGGCTATAGGGAAAAGATCGCTTGTTGATGGAACGGGTGACCAAAACCTACTATAAGAAGAAGTTTGTGCAATTCTGTAAGAGTTTGGAGTGATCTGAATTCCATGGAAAACCATCTGCGTTTTTCCTTAGTTTAAAGCCTTGCCGGCTATACTTTTTCTGTAGTTCTTGCGCAAAAACAGAAAAAATATAGAAGGTAAACTTGATTGGAGCAGCACAAGGGAAAAGCGGAGTTAGTTTTCGATCGAATTTCAAATACATAATAAACTCTTACAGACGTTCATACTCTTATAGCACGCTTCGGTTACCTTGGTTGATAAAAAAAAGAAACGGTTGAAAGTAAAAGCTCTTAAAATCAACATTCTGTTTCCCACAACATCCAAATGACCAGGCCGATCAAAAGATTGATTCTCATGTCTCAGCTGATTTCATTACGTAGGAGCAAAATGGGGAATTACGGGTCCCTTATGTGTATACAGTTTTATGACTGATTTATCAACGATGCTGCCATAAAAGTGAACACACGATCTCTAATTTGTTCCGACGAAGGGCTTATGCACAAAGTTCCAAAATTCGGCAACTTCACTTGGCCGCCGTCAGTGAACCACCAAAATGCTGGGTGAATGCCTTCCAAATCACCAAATCGCGAATTTTCAATCTAGAATTCTATGAAATGTTCGGACGAGCTGGAGTTTCCTTCAGAATCTTGGCTTGAGGTACGGAATTTTTGTCGGTGTTCGGAAATCTCCGGATAGCTTTGAGTGAAATCCAGCCACCAGGCATTTGGTGTCTTCGCATTTCTTCGCACTAATTTCGCAAATCTTTTTCGTAATTTGCACTCGTATTATATCTTCATGAAGGATATTACATGGCGGCGCAAAGATATGAATTTTATACGAGTGGTAAAATAGACTGACTATACAAAAGCACTCGCGCGCATTCTCTTTCTGAGCATGGTTGCGATTTTAGGGCTTATGCACAAAGTTCCAAAATTGCACAAAGTTCCAAAGATTCCAAAAGGAATCAGTTAGCGATCCAAATCGCGATCGGTTTTCTCAGCAATCATTCAGAGACTAGGCTTCATTAACGTTTCTATATTTGTTTGGTTTATTATCAGGTGGTAAAAGACAAACTTGGTTTTATCCCCCACCACCACCACCTCCTCCTCCTCCACCACCCCCACCTCCTGGCCCCCCGGGACAAGATGGACCAATGGGACCTGCAGGACTTCCCGGACCGGACGGACCTAAGGGCCCTCCAGGACCCCCGGGACTACCTGGACCACCTGGCATACCTGGATATCCAGGGAACCCCGCGGGACCCCCAGGGAGAGATGGACCTCCTGGACCTCCCGGACCAGCCGGTGGTCGAGGCCCGCCCGGAGACATGGGGGCGATGGGAGCCCCCGGTGGAGCAGGTGGCGCCGGACAGCACTTGGGGAAACGGAAGAGAGAAATGACTGAGTGGGGCGAAATCACAAGACTGTGAAGAAAAATCACAAACTACCACCGATATTGAGAAAATACGTACAGCTGGAGAACATTGCTACGCTTTTGTTACGATTTTCTTTCGCTCTGTTAGCTACCAGACTGGGATTCCGGAAACCGTCTAGCTTTTTTGTATGAGAATCTCCACATTTTGTATTTTTAGGTTTGAAATAAATTTACATGGTTTTCTATCCACTCATTAATTTTTTCAAATGATTATAAGTTATCATCATGCCATTTTCTAAGTTTTCCTCGTCCTCAAGCCTTGTGGCCATTACTTTTTATCTGTTGTTGAGTTTTTTCAGAAAATGAGCCATTTGAAAATATATAACACCTGGTATGTGTGTCAAGTTATATCACAACAGAAGGTTTCAATAAAATACATCTTCCCTAAATACACCTACACTTTCCTTGTGATACACCGTGTGGGTCAGTTCGAAACTATGCCGGGGTTGTTGTGTTATGTTCTCAGTCAAGACACTTTGCTATCGCAGTGCCTCCGTACAACCTCGAATTTAATGCTTGGGGTAAGCTTGAGATACTCCTTGTCGTTTCATGCTACGGAAAGCGGAGGCGAGCGCCGGCCTGATGAGCCACTAGTTTCAAATGCAGACTTTACCTGTGACTACTTATTGTATTGTACCATAAATATAACTAAATCTAATCGCCATTTTTTTCATTAAATAAATAAATGAGAAGGACTACGGTAAAGAAGAATATTAAAAAGTAATTTCGCGATCATCTGTGGGAGGCGCGTTGGCCTCATGGTTAGTGCGCTCGACTTCGCAGCGAGCGGTCTGGGTTCGAGCCCTGGCCGGGGACATTATGTTATGTTCTTTGGGCAAGACACTTTACTCTCACGGTGCCTCTCTCCACCCAGGTGTATAAATGAGTAACCCTGCGATGGACTAGCATCCCATTCAGGAGGAAGCAGAAATACTCCTAGTTGCTTTTTGCTACTGAAATCGGGATAAGCTCCGGCCTGATAAGCCACTTGGTTCGTATGCAGACTTTACCTTTTTTTACCTCGCGATCATCTCTGTTATGTATAAAGATCAATTTTTCCTACCTCGCGTCGAAAGCAAATATAAGAGGAGAAACCAACCAGGGGCGTAACCTCATTTTTAACGATCCAGCCTACATATGGAGGGTATGCTAACCTAAGTCTTCTTCGATCTTCCTAGACAAATCGGTTAGAGGAACGAGACTGTCGCCTCCCTCTTATCGATTTGTTTAGGAAGATCGAAGGGGACTCTGCTCGTAGGGTAATGCTAACCGGGAAATATTCGCAAATACACCCTCGGAAAAACTTTGTCCTTTCTGGTGATTTACATGTATTTCAGTCGACAGCGTCTGGACTCCAGCCGACCTAAATACTAACCAAAAAGAGAGCAATTTACAAATAAACGCGGTTGCCTTAATTAACGGCACATATCAAGAGGATCCCCGGCGAGGTTTCACTTGCTTGGTGAGCCTTGACGTTAAGTGGATGAAAAAATTGTAGGCCAGGGTCTTCGGACCTTCTTTTGGCTAACTACGACACAGACTACTAATATAGTATATCGGTAAATAAAATATAGTGTAGATCATTTCATTATTTGCCCTGAAAGAGAATTGCATTTACCAAGATCGAACGGTGGAGGGCGGCTGGTCTAGATTCGGTTGACCCGGTTGGTTGGC